CTACTAGATTGCCGTAACAGAATACTGTAAGCAGATACATATATTCCACTGTGTCCTTTTCCTTCTTATCAGTAAAAAGGAGGAGAAATATACCAAATAAAATAGTAATGATAATGGGAAATGATGAATATTTTGTAGGGCAGAGAGCATTTTGGTATAATTAAGGACTTTTAAAATTATAAGATTAATTCATTCTCCATTGTAAACAAGTAGATATTAAGTAAGCTATGAAAATAACCCATTGCTACTTCTCACACTTCAAGTTAACAGGATTATCCAGTACCTACCAAGTATAAAGCACTGAATCAGCATGACAGGGAATTAAAGACGACAGGACTGACATGCCTCACATGGTCCCTGAACAACCTTACAGAGATTACACCCATGATATCATATGCATTCACTCAGTAAACATCTATCATGGTACAACAGATACTGGGCTGAGAGAGAGACAAGGATTGCAGATACTATCCTCCAAAAGCTCACTATCCAGAAATACACAAGGTGTTAAACTGAATATAATACCAAAACGCATGCTAGAGCTACTGGGTATTCAGGGTAGTTTGAAAGACAGACAGTGATTATTTTCAAAGCATCAAATAGTATTAGGAATGTTTAATATCATATAGATTAGATAAAACTTCCAAAATTATTATACTAATATTTTCATAGCTAAATCAGCTGAGACATCTGTTTTAATTTCTTGTTCAGCAGAAAATGAATACACGTTAACAAAGATATGTTCTCCTCTGCTGAGAAGAGGGAAAAAATCTATTTGGACAGAAAAAGGATAAACTATTTAAGGATGTATTCATCTCTGCATGTATTACAGTGCCTGAAAGGACCTTCAATAAGCAAACTTAATTTGTAGAATAAACTCGCAATGGAGGTCAGTTGAGGTGGTATATAGCATAACCCCACCCCCACCCACCCACCCTATCCAAAGGAAAAGAAATGAAAGGAGAAGCAGACATACAGACCAAAGTTACACAACAGTAAAATGGAAAGCTTTCATCAAAAGAGCTGAACTTGAGAAAAACTTTAGGGAACTAGATTTGGGGAAAATTTGCTTTTTATGTTCTGCGTTAAAAAGGCCTGAATAATTAACTGGCTTTAGCCTCACTGGACTTCAGCAAGATAACCTATACATGTAAACTGAATTTATATGCCTCTAAATGTACTCATCGGTAATATCTAGGTTCATCCTGTCTGACGAGGTTTTAACATCACTTAATCACTTTTGGCAACATAGTTTATGAACCAGTCCCCCAAATTTATTTCATAATCACTTTGAAAGGACTATCATTCCATTGTGTAGAAATATCCCATTACACACTGAAGCAGTACATTTAAATCACAGAATAACTTTACCCCCCAAAGAGTTAACAAACTAGTTACCAAAAACTGATGTTTCAAATAACACCTGCCTATTAAAATTATGAATAATTTTCTATTATTTGGGCATTACTTGAAAAACTTGGTAATTTAGACAGGAGGCAGTGGGTTTATTCATATATTCTATTTATCTAAAGAAATACTGAAACACAAGAGGATAATTATTGTAGAATCATTATCTCAGCCTCTTCAAATAACCTGCAATAGTTTTATGAAAATAATGCTTCAAATCACGCCATAATCTTATCCAAAGACCATACCATAAATGTCAACTGAAAATGTGTATGGCATTACTTTGACTACAATGCTGGTAAATAGGTGAAGCCACACACAGGACTGAAACTAGCTTGAATTTTACTACATAATCATCCCTGTATTGTTACAAAAATACACTTGGGCAAGTAGTAGACTGACTCCAAGTACACAACACCTCATGGTTCTTGTTAGAAAGAGTAATGTATACACAGGCCAAGTCAAACCTCTAAATTTTATCCCCATGATACCTGAGAATATCCTGATTAAATTTTTTTAAAAAAAGAATGTCTAGATAACTAATACATCTTATTATAAGTGGCAAGTTTATCAATACAAATTTTTTCATCTGGCTATGTGATGGCATAGTTAAATAAATTTAAAATATCATCCCTTATCTCATTTTCCAAATTAAATAATGGAAACCAGTGATATTAAAAGTATTCTTATGACAAATATCTAAGAAGATAAATAAACGTACCTCGTATTCACTGGAATCAATTAATAAAGCGCTACTTTGTAAGGTTCCATTTGAGACTAAAATAGAAGATTAAAATAAGGATTGACCAAAATGCAAAACTGTACTAATAGATTACCTTTCAGAAGTTTTCAATTAATCTATGTATACCTGCTTTTACATATAAACATATATATTCAATATTAACTGTAACGCTATGAACAAACACACTTAAGCCTACTGGTGAAGCATAGGGATTGTACCTCTACTCACAATCATGCTGACTGTTTAATCTGCAGCAAGTATTTAACCTGTTCGTCTATCAGTTATATTCTGCCAACTGAGATCATCAAAGCACCCCTCTCTTACTAAAGCTTTTTGGGGTGATATTGAACGAGATAAGGCACCTCAGTAACAAACGGAGCCTGGCGTGTACCACATAGGGAGGCCCTCTGAGGGCACACAGTGAAGATTAGAACACTCCAGGTCAACAGGGTATATGGTGCCATCGCTATTCTTGAATACTATTACATTTGGGCCTGTAACTTGTAAAACTTGCTCTTAATGAGAAAAAAAACCTAGGTTTTAAAATATCACATTCACCTCCAGAGCAAAGTTTCATGAGGTAAAAAAAAAATCCCCTATTTGTAGTATACATGGATGGACATCTATGTAACTGGGAAGTGGATCAGGAATAGAAATGATTTTTACAAATTCAGAATTTTAAGGAACCCAGGTAATGACTTATTTTTCAGTCCATTTGAAACTGTGGCCTGTTCCCTGCAAAAGAAAGCAGAACATGCGTAACAAAATTTTATAAGATTAGAATGACTGAGTTTGAAGACTAAGAGAGAACAGGGAAATAATCAAATTAACTTGCATTTTACAAAAGAGTTGAAAGTGTCTTATTTAAGGCCACAATGGTAGTTTGTGGAAGAGCCACAAATATGTTTATGTCACCAATTCTCTCTACTCTGTCCCAGGTGAGTATTTGACAAAGCCTGCAAGCAAGTAAGCAGGTTGATGGTAAATAGGCTCACAGCAAATGAAAGAAGTACAAGGACTGCATCTCCAAAATATCCTGTTATTCAGTATGATGAACACTTTTCTAGCATCAAGATGGTTTATTAATCTAGGGTGCAGGACGTACAATGGTGGAAGTGGGTAAAAACGACTTTGTACCCTCACCTACATAGAAATCCTCAGAGCTTACATAAAGATCCCCATTTTCAACACACTGACTTGACTCGGGTTCATATTATTAGTTACTGCTTTTAATATTCAAGGCTCAGAGGTTTTCACAGGCCTAAGCCTGTTTGGTGTACTTTTGTAACAAGGAGAGATTTGGAGAGTAGGGGTGTTAAGTGAAAGACATAAAAGTGTGATTTTATTTTACCCTGGTTTAAGACTTCTACTGACAAGTATTCTAACAGGAGTCCATCATTCTTTGTGAGGGTATGCACAACTCAAAATGCTTTGCTTTATTATCTTGGAGCAACGTACTTCTATGCTAAGAGTTTCACTCTACGCATTTTAAGATGGTACTCTATTTCCAACTTTTGGACTGGACAAGAGATATCCCCATATTCCACAAACCTGCAGCATGACCAGGGAATTACCCTAATAACTATCCCAGCCAGAGGAAAACATTTATACTCTGCTGACCAATCTAAATATTGAAAAGTAAATTAACTCCTGTAAGAAGTGTAGTATTTAATAATTATAACTAGAAAGAAGAAATCCACATAATCTGTAAACCCTTAAAATTCTCTATTTTTTCAACTGAGAATTAATGCTATATCTGCACACTAATCTGGAGTTCTATTCTACCTTCAGGATAGATAAACATTTGTGTTCAACCAGCTATCTCTGCTGGAAAAGTGCCATAATAAGTATAATACACACCAAAAAACACCATGAAAACTCACGAACAGGATAAGAAGTAAAAAAAAAAAAAAAAAAAAAAAATGCATGAAAGACACAGAGGAATACCACATTGAAGTTATTTGACAATACTGCCCAATGGTGGACAGATATCACCATTTTGGATATAAAATCTTGTAAGCCAGGATTTTGTTATTTTGATGTCACATCATCAAAGTAGAGTTTTATGTGTTTTTGAGACCAATGGTTAAAAATGCAGTTCTGTATATTTAAGTTCATGTATTCTCTCATTAGGACTTAGAGGAAAAAAACTCTACACATTTATAAGATTTCAAATGTTTTCCATTTAATAATAGATTTATTTGTACTAGTCCTTTGTAGTCAATCTTCATATTCACATTTTTATTTCAACAACAATCATCTCAGACACACCTTCTAACAAAACTGACTTAAAATATTACGACAGGAAACTATGCCTTCAGGAGCATGTTTATTGTGTTTGAGATGATACATCAGGTGCTCTCTGAGCTACAAAGGGTAAAAGGAAATCCTCTCGTTACAAACTGACAAAGGTAAAAGGTAAAACATTTTTCACAACAGCATGAACCACATACTCAGAAATAGATCTGGGTTTAATACAAATGACATAATTCCTAATCATCTACAGCTACTTTTATAACTTCATACAGATAATGAATTAGGCTAAAATGCACTATAATATTTGGTAGACTTCAGGACCAGTATCCTTAGTACATCACAAAATACATTTTGATATCCCAAAGAAGCAAGACTTGCAAGTAGGCGTTTTAAACAGAACTAATCTACAGCTACAAAGTTCTACTCTTGATAGCATTTACCTTTTTGGGGAGTCTCCCAGTCTCCAAAGGATAAAAGCAGAGAGTAGAATCAGTATAACATATACACAGAAGTCCGTATTGTAAAGGCTATAAAGATTTGCAGCACAGTGGGAAGATGCCTTCTGCTCCTTCACACTGCATACAAATTATGTGAATTATGTTGCGTATCGCTTGGTCCACTGTCTGGCTATCCTGTCATGTTCTGCTCTGTTGGTCAAATACTGAGTGGCTATGCTTCCAACCAGAGGATCCGCTGGAAAAGTGGAAAGAACATTAGAAGATATTATAGTGTCTTATTATTATATATATTTTATATATTATATATTATATTTACATATTATATATTATATATATTATATTATATATACTTATATATTAGAAGATATTATAGTGTCTTAACTGTTCAGTTCTAGCAGTCTGGAACTGAAATGATTTTTCAGCAGCATCTTGATATATAACAGCTAATTTCTCAAGAAGAAAAATGCTTAAAGTAACATAATCATCTTTATATTTTAATATTCAAATTAGAAAAGTTTCTTTAAAAATAGAGTTAATAAAGCTTTTAAAGTGTGTGATTTTTTAAGATGTGTATATCTTTAATATATAAAAACTATTTTTCACCCTTAGCATTTTACTGAAAAGTACGTGTGCCAGTATTTGTCTTTCTATGGATACTTCAAAATTAATTTTTCCAAATGCAGAACCTATGATGCAAGGCTTTTCAGAATGAAGTATTTCTTTCATTCTGTACTATTGTATGACTTAAATCATCATCCTTACCTCCATCTGAAAACTTACTTGCCATTTTGTTTTAAATAATATTCTGAGCGGGAAATTGAATCTGAGATGTAAATTTTATTTTGAGCTTCTTTTTCAAGAAGGTCCACTATGTACATGTGGTACAAACTTTGAAGCACATCAAACAACAGCCAGTAAAATGTAAAAAAGCTCTCTTCCTTTCTGCCTCCAACTATTCAGAAGTTTCTCTTCCTGGCAAACGATTTATACCATTTATAGCATCTCTATCCAGAGACATTATATATATTTATAAGCATTTAGAATATTATTTTTTTTGCCTATTTTTCAGTGCCGTGCTTTTTTAGCTTAATGTATCTTCGAGAGTTTTCTCCATTAATTCACACAGAGCCACCCCTTTAAGCTACATCCTCTATTAATGGACATGTGGGTTGTTTACAATCTTTTGCTTTAATAAATGACGCCACAATGAATATCCTTCTACACACCCCTATACTATCTATCTATGGTACATGTACAACTGCTGGGTCTACGATAACTGTAATAGCCTTTGGTAGTTGATTAAATATTTAGGAAAAAATAAGTCAATTTCTTTACAAAATGACTACTTGGTAAGATATCACATGCGAAATCCCACGCCTAAACATTACTTTTACAAGTCAGCTACCCACATGAAAGCTTGTATGTGGCAGTTAAGCATTTCTTAAAAATTACACACTAATGACTTTATCCCAGAGTTTTAATAATCCTAATCTAACTCTCTCATCAGTTACCATTTTAGTATCTACTATGACCGCATCTAACAAAACTAACTGTAACCAAAGAGGAAGGGAGGACAAGAGGCCCTTCACTGCTGAACGGCTGAGGCACTCAAGCACATGACCGCATAAAGGCGCAGAGGCGGCGGCCGCGCGGTCAGAAACAGTACTCTCTTCAGGAGGGTCTGTGCAACTCCGTGATTCAGAGAGCAGGGGCTCACCAATGGAGGGGAAAAAATGATTACAGGGCAGCATGCCATTAACAAACTAAAGGAAGTTACTGTGAGACTTCTGGTCTATTCTAACTGAAATGGCATTGATAAGCTTCTCAAAAACTGTTTCTTGCTGATCTTTCTACCAATAGCATTTACTTCTCAAATTCACCTTAAGCCTTAAGCTAACTGAGAAAAATGCACCGATTTTCAGAGCCTCACTGAATGTGTTAATAAAAATCTACTTACCAGGGTTGCAGTCTGTCAAAAGAGAACAGATTGACAGCAAAACCTTTGAAATAGTCAAAGCAGGACTCCAGTTGTCTTTAAGGATGTCCAGGCAGATGACTCCCTGACTATTGATGTTGCAGTGATAGATTCTGGTGCGGAAAGTAACCTAAGGGCAGTGATTAAAAACAGATAAGCTTTATTACCAACCAAAACTCTCACTAGCAAAAATGAAGTGGAACATATTACAGATCATAACAAACAGCATATAACTGAAGAGCTAATCAAACACTAGTTTTAGTAACAGCAAAATTAAATGATTTTATTTAATTCAGTTGCAGGAAATTTTGTTTTTACCCAGTATAGAAGGAACTACATTGCTTTTAAAACAAAGTGAGGTGCAGAATTGTTTAAATAAATGATACAGGAATTCAATATTGGTATGTGTGGGCATGTACACATATACCCCTGCTTAAGAATAGGAAATGAGGGAGAATAGAAATGTTTTGGTGTCAAAGGTGAAAGAAAGTAGTGAAGAATTTTTTAAACATAAAACTAAAGTTACATTAGTTAGTAAACACAGGCTATCAACTCAACTAATCTCTCGCCATGTGTCAAAAAATACTGCAGAAAGTTGCTGAAATCACCAGTGTTTCTATTTCTCAGACTTTAATTTCCCCCAAATGGCTCACTGTCTTGTTAGAATAAGACAGGCAAACAACACAAATAAGGTCTTAAACTACTGAATAAAGGAAACCATTATATCCTTGAAATATGTGGGAAAAAAGAGAATAAATCATAGAAACAAATACTGGCAAATTTCAAAACACTCACAAACACAAATTGAGTGGTTAATTTTTAATTTGGAGCTGCAAAATAGAAAAGATTGTTCCCAAACCCTTGGAACTGGTAAGGTACTGTGATCTCCAAAGTGGAGTCTGGAAAGAAAATGGTTAAAGCCCTCAAATGTGTGTTTCTGATGAGGATGCATAGTTAAAAACAAGAAAGCAACCACTGGTGTAGTGGGGAAAGAGGAGGAAGAGACTACAGTAGTACCCATTTTGACCACATTTTTACCCTCCATGGTTCCAGTACTCCTCAGGTCAACCGGGATCCAAAGATATTAAATGCAGAAGTTCAGAAATAAACAATTTATAAGTTTTAAACTCCGCTGTTCTGAGTAGATGATGAAACCTTGTACCGTCCTGCCCTGCCTGGGTGTCCAGCATAATCCTGCCCAGTCACAGGCTACTAAGTAGCATCCTGCTCATTAGCTCAGCTGCCGCAGCACTGCACTGCTTGCGTTCAAGTCACCCTTACTTTATTTCACAGCTGCCCCAAAGCCCAAGAGCAGTGATGCCGGCAATTCAGATCTGGACAGAGAAGCCATCAAGTTCTTGTGTTGAGTGACAAGATGAAAGTTTTCAATGTAATAAGGCCAGGAAAACAAATTCTACTCTGAGGTTGCTAAGATCTATGGTATGAATGATACTTCTATCCATGAAATTACAAAAAAAAAAAAAAAAAAAAGCCGGGGAGGAGCAGGGGAAACTTGTGCTGGTTTGACTGTTGGACCTCAAGTGGCAAAAGCTACAGCCACCAGTGCTTAGTTACAGTGGCAAAGGCATTCAATTTGTACAAGATATTTTGAGAGGGACCACAATCTTGCAACATTTATTATAGTATATTGCTATAGTTGCTCTAATTTTATTATTAGTTATTGTTAGTTTCTTACTGTGCCTAATTTATAAATTAAACTTTAGCATAGGTATTTATACATAGGAAAAAACAGCATTATATAGAATCTGGTATTATCTGGGATTTCAGGCACCCACTGAGGGCTTTGGAATTCTGCTTCTGAGGATAAGAAACTACTTATATAATTATAGAACTGTTCTAACACAGTACATGCTAGTTACACAGAACTCCTAAAATGTGGCTGGTAAGAAATAAGATGGGCTAAAAGTATAAAACACACACTAGATTTCAAAGGGAGAAGGCAATGGCAACCCACTCCAGTACACTTTGCCTGGAAAATCCCATGGATGGAGGAGTCTGGTGGGCTGCAGTCCCTGGGGTCGCTAAGAGTCAGACAAGACTGAGCGGCTTCACTTTCACTTTTCACTTTCATGCACTGGAGGACACCGCAACCCACTCCAGTGTTCTTGCCTGGAGAATCCCAGGAACGGGGGAGCCTGGTGGGCTGCTGTCCATGGGGTCGCACAGAGTCGGACACGACTGAAGGAACTTAGCAGCAGCAGCAGATCTCAAAGACTCAATACCAAACAGAGAATGTAAATAGGGCATTCATGATAATCCTACTGATTCCATACTGAAATGACAGTAGTTTTGGACATGCTGGATTAAGTAAAATATTATTAAAGTTAATTTCACTGTTTATATAAAAAATTACACATGTAGCTTGTATTATATTTCTATTGGCTCTGCTCTAGAATATGGGAATAATGTATGTTCGTATCGTTGATAGCTGACCACTCAATAGAGAGCTTATAAAACATGATTAATATTTTGAATACTTTCAATGAACAGAAAATAATTAAATTTCTATTACTCTTCAAGAAGTTCAACACTTTATCTGAACTTCAAAAATAAGCAGAACTGTAGAGAGGCAATTATACCTAAACCAAGACAGCAGCAGAAGTTTTATTCTTTTTCTCCTGTCCAACTATAGATCTGAAGAATGCTTCAAAATACTATACAAGACATCTTAGGAAAGAGGAAGGAATCAACATTAAAGGGTTAGAAAATAAAAATATTGAGACTTTAGCAAAAAAAAGTAACATGCTAAGTTAATAAACACTATATTAATCAAAACAATGACAACAAATCATATATACGTAACTATGGTAGTCAATTTCTATTTTCATTAAAAGATGCTAAGAAAAATGTGTTTTCCTTTAACAAATTTTCCCTCATGTATAAAAACAATTTCATAAAAACTAAATCTTTTTCTGCTGATTTTTCTACCATGTTAAAACCAATTTCCAATATGAAAAATGAGGCAAGTAGAAATAAGCATTACTATAGATACATACATATATATACACATATAGATACTGTAGATACAGTCATGAGCTATTTTGCTAAGGTTTTGCTTTCCTGTATCATATGGGAAACTTAAGAACTTAAGGCAAACTAAATAGTTAGTGATATGCTGGAATTTAACATGTGTCATTCTGAGTATGAAAACAATCTTCAGTTTTATTAACATGAGGGTTTTGTCCTTTCTTTGACTGATCTATCAAGAGATACTTGACATACTGGAGAACGTTAAATAAAACAATCAGTTAAAAATCTTAGATGTTGATGGGACCACTTAGTAAAAGCACTCAGAAAGTGACAGCTATAGTTGTGAGCAAATACCTGTAGGTGATAAGGAACCCTGGTATCTGCAATTTGAGGTAAATACCACTAGGTGGAACTGTTGTTACCTTATTCAATGAGGGAATTTTAAAAAAAGTTATTTTTACACACACACATAACACGCAGGCATGTGAACATAGGCTCTAAATCGCTATACATATTTTAAATAATGGAGGGAATGAATGTAAGGAACTACATTGAAAAGAAAAACATTTCATGAAAGCTGGCTTAACATTTCTCTACAACATCTTGTGAGTCTAACTAGAGCATAATTAGACTCAACACTGATGGTAAAAACTGCTGGCTTGACCATTTTATAGGGAGAAGTCAGAGGAAGAAGCCAGTCAAATAACTGCTGTGTTTATTAAGACTTTAAAAATAACTGTCAGTCATTACAAGACACAACTCAACCCTTTTCGCCGTTACCCACAGAATTCATGCTTAGCCTCTCATTCTCTCATAATTCTCACTCGGCCTCCCTCTTTCTCATTAACGCATCATACTTACAGAGGGCACAGAATAAATATATTAAATAGTATCAGTTCCCTCTTCTTTGCTATAGGTTTCTGGTTTTTGCTCATCTATGAAGGTAGGGTATTCAGCAAAAAATTCAAGATACCTAACTCTTATTTCCGGAAGCTGTCAAATTTACCTTTTATCCCAATAGATTTCTTAAGTAAGATTCATATGATATTTTTTCTCATACCATAATTTATTTGCTTATTGATATGCAAAGTGGCATACCTTTATTTACATTTAACACACTCTCCACTGATTGTATACAAAGTTATTTGTAAAACACAGAAGTCAATTACTACCACATTTTAAAAATCATTGGTTACAAGAGTTTCCACATAATCCATGAAAAACAGTAACTTCATCCACACATTAAAACTCTTATGATAACTGATTCTGGAAAAGAATAAGTATTAAAGAACGCAATTCTAGGTTCTTACCTTTGGTGGCTTAAATGGATAATCGGATGAAAATGTGATATCCAGAAAAAACACACCACCTTCATATACAGAACCTGGTGGACCAAGTATAGTCGATCTCCATTCATAAATGTTATCTCCTTTAGGCCCAGCACTATTTAAAAGAAATTAAAAATCAATGTGTGAATCTGTGATCTATGAATGTCAGCATCTTAAACCAATTAAGTATCAAAGGTAAATTAGCAACCAGAACAGTACGAGATTAATAGAAATAAGCCTCAACCAACTTGTGCAGGGAGGTGTGAATAAACCTATTTGGAAATAGTTCTAACATACAGAAAAATCACAAGAACGAAGAAACTTTATCCAGAATCCCACTGAACTCATTTGCTTTAGTCAACTCCTTTTCTCTTTCTCCATCTCCCCCTTCTAAAATACATACACACACACACACACACACACACACAGTGCTTTTTTTCTAAGCCATTTGAGAGAAGTTGATAATGTATCATAGTCCTTTCCTCATAAATATTTCAATATTATTTCCTAAAACAACCTAATACAACTGCAATATAGCTATAACTTCAATAAAAGTAAAATCTGTACAATACCTACAATCTGCAAAATAATGTCAACTGACCCAATTATGCCTCTAAAACACCTCAATTTTCCCCCCGACACAGGATCCCAGTCTTGAGATCGGCCATCTGTGTCCAGCGTCTTTAGGCTCCTTTAACATAGGGCCTTGCAGCCTTCCTTTGCCTACTACAACACTTAACATTTTTTAAGAATACAGGTCTTATTTTAATAGAACGCTCATCACCTTGAACTTGTCTGGTGTTTCCTTACGATTACATGCAGGTAGTACCTTCCTGGCTAGAAGAGAACACAAGTGATGCTGCGTTTTTCTCAGGGCGTCATATCCAGAGGCACACTGGGGATGTTAGTTTTCATTATCCGGATCAAGTACTGTGTGACTGCGACCAAGCAGCCGTCTTTGCAAACTCAGTGTGTGTGCTCAGTTGCTTCAGGCATGTCCGACTCTTTATGACCCCGCAGACCATAGCCTGCAAGGCTCCTCTGTTCATGGGAGTTTTCCCAGCAAGGATACTGGAGTGGATTGCCATGCTCTCCTCTAGGCTATCTTTCTGACCCAGGGATCGAACTCATGTCTCCTGCATTGTAGGCGGATTCTTTACTGCCTGAACCAACAGGAGGGAAGCCTAAGACCGTGAAAATACCCAACTCTTCATCAGCACTTCTACCCTAGATTTAACATCGACTTGTGATTCCTGACTAAAGTGAACTTTACTATGATACTGATAAAACCATAATTTTCCAGTGTCAGCATTTCCTTTGCATTTACCAGTTGGTGCTTGAACCCTCTCTTCTCCTATCTGTATGAACATGTGTATTACTGGTGAGGTCTCAAGGATTCCTATCTTTTTTCCTAATGATTTAGAATTCTTACTGCATTTAATTATTTTGATGCTCAAATCATCCCAGATTTGGCCAATGAGAACATCTTCAAAATGACCCCTGTAGCCACCATCATTTTGGGGGAAGCATTTTCTTACTTTAGCATTACAGTATGTTCCAGGCTCCCATCCTTGGAATCTGCTACTTCTTCAAGAGCCCTGATTCCCTTTAGTGCGAATGTGTCTCAAGGTCTGAGTGCTGGGTGGTGCTAAATCCCAAGTACATTACATTGTGCTCAACACCATCATTTCATTTATAAACTATAATGACAGATAATTCAAATAAAATCTAAATTCACAGTACTTTTCAAATTTACCTTACAGACTTCTTTTTTTCCTCTAACTTAACTTTCTGCACTAAAGTATATATAATGCTTTTCTTCTTTTAGCAACCGTCAGTTTAGAAATAATCTGCATGTTTGATTTAAAATAAGTGCAAACCAACATTGATAAAGCAATGACATTAGGACATTCAAACATACATTAAAAGATCTGACCAAATCTTAATTCTGTAAAACATACACTGTAGACTGTAAACATTAAGTAAGCAACGCTATCAATAATCATTCTGAAAACAGTTCATACAGAAAGGGTGTAGAAAACTTGATGATACAATCAGAATGTTTATAGTATGTTTCAAAAACCTATTTTGAAGGTAGATATACATGAACTATACAACCTTACTATTATGGCCTATTTACAGAAAATATATTTTTGAAAAATATTGTTTTCTAAGTTTGAAGTATACACAACAACTGAAACTAATTACAGTAATGGCTCATTGTTCAGTAATCATTTGAGAATCAGGTACACCCCCCAAGGGAATTTTCGCTTTAACTAAAAAGACACAAAATGAAGTACCAGTTTTGTTTATAAAAAGAAGACAGTTTACCCTGATTCAATGACATTTCCTTTTCTAAGTTAATTTTTCCCTTGATGACTCAAACTAATCATTATAAAACCATAGTGTGAGACTTTTACAGGACAGCTGCTTTACTAAGCTGCTTCTAAACCATACAAGTTCTCCACACACTGACGACAATAATGACAATGATAAAAGCAGCAGCTAAGGTTTACTTCATAAGAAGCCAAGCATGTTTCAAAGCACCATAGTACACATCTCACTGAATTCTCCTTATGAATCTATAAAACATACTATTATTATATCACTATTTTTTAGATGAGGAAACTAAAGTTCAGAGAGTTAAATAACTTTCCCTATACCCCACAGCTACAAAATATTCTAATAAAATTTGGACGAAATCTGAATAAATCTCTATTGACTTCAATGGTTTTGCTATATGTGTATTTCTTCTTATAATTTCTGTGCTACTATGTGTAATTTAATCTTCAGTCAAATTTCACAAATATTTGGGGAGCAATGTAAGGAGAGCTATTCTCCAAAGAAACTGAATATCCTCAGTGATACTCTTTGGTTTTTGGCAGAATTATGTTATGCTTGAGATGGCTGGGGATTACTATACTTTTGTGATTCACAGAATTTCAGTATGAAAAGGATCCGGGTGATGCTCAACCCCTCCTTCTACACTTGAAGAAACCGATTCACAGAAAGTAAGTCATCCATCTCAAATCCTCTCTTCCAGGCGGTAGAAGAGCTGGGACTCCCACAGCAAATTCTTGGTTCTTAAGTTTGCTTTCTTCTCAGTTATGCTATTTCTGCTACAAGACACTAAGGACCTGGTTATGACAGCAGGATATGAAATGTGGTTTTCCCCATGTCTTGGTGGAGAAGGAAATGGCAACCCACTCCAGTGTTCTTGCCTGGAAAATCCCAGGGACAGAGGAGCCTGGTGGGCTGCCGCCCACAGGGTCGCACAGAGTCGGACACGACTGAAGCAACTTAGCATTCATGCATGCACTGGACAAGGGAATGGCAACCCACTCCAGTGTTCTTGCCTGGAGAATCCCAAGGATGGAGGGGCCTGGTTGGCTGCCATCTATGGGGTGCGCAGAGTCGGACACGACTGAAACGACTTAGCAGCAGCAGCCACTGTCTTGGAGTAGACCTAGTAGGCTGTAGCTCATGGCTGTGTTCTAAGAATACCTAGCCTGAGGTGCAGGACTTAAAAGAGATGTGGGTTCCATCCCTGGGTTGGGAAGATAACCCTGGAGAAGGAAATGGCAAGCTACTCCAGTACTGCCCTGAGAACCCCATGGACAAAGGAGCCTGTTGGGCTATGGTCCATGAGGTCACAAAGGGTCGGATACGACTGAAGTGACTTAGCACAGCACAAGGTAAGTTAGGGCTGAAATACAGCCCTTGTTGGCTGCCCTATCTGGAATAAGGGCCTCCTTTCCCTCCTCCTTTCTCACAAAGGTGCCCCCTGCTAACCAAGATGTGGGTTAGCGGGGAGGTAGATGGGGGTGGGGGGGAAGGTGGCGGGGGTGTGCTGGATATACGACTGACTTCAGTCTAATTCAACCACGCCATTTTACAGGCTAGTAGTTGACCTGCCTCAGAGGCATCCTAACTGAGTAGGAAGGGGTGCTAAATGCTGGTATTCTCAAGGCAGGTCCTAAGGACACCTTTCTACTAGATCTTAGTCTCTCTTTTACAAAAGAACAACACTCCAATAATTCTATACTCCATCCTGGATCATCAGTTTTTCCCTCTCGGTGAATCACGCCCACAAGAATACTAAGATGCCATTTCCTCAGTCTTTAAAAGCTAACCCTGATTCCCCTCCCGCTTCCAGCTCTCTTTTCAACTACAGGCTCTTATCCCACCACCCCACTGAAACACTCTCATCCCAGGTCACCAGTGACCTCATCACTAGATCTAATGCTCATTTCTCAATCTTCATCTTATCTGACAGAGTCAGTCACTTTTTCCTCCTTGGTATTCTTTCTCTGCTTCATTGTACTTACTGGTTTTCCTCCTAACTTTCTTGGCCCCTCCTTCTCAATCACTAAATGCCATTATCACTATGGCAATCACTATTGCCATTCCTTATCTCCCTAACTTCTAAATATTGCCAGTCCCTCAAAGCTCAGTCCTTAAACTTCTTCTCCTTTCTACCTACATATACTCTTTTGTTGATCTCCTGCTCTTTTATGGCTTCCAAGAGCAACAGTAAGCTCGGAACCCACCAATTTGTATCCCCAGCCTACATTTCTATACTGATTTTCAGGGCTATAAGTCTAAATGCCTACTAAACAGTCTTTACTCTGAAATCTAATATTTTGAATCAAATAGTTTTGAGAAGTTTAACATGCCCCCAATTGAAGCCCTGATCCTGACTTCGCTCACAAGTTTCCCTACTTTGGTCGAAGCTCAGGGCAAACCCCTACACCTCACCCTTGACAGCACTCATCTCTGTCCCAGATCTGCAAATTCCATTGGTTTTATCTTAAAAACATACCTCAAATTCTACTCCTTCTCCCTATCACCTAACCTTGCCTGAAAACAGCAGCATCCTCGGGCAGGTTAACTCCAGTAGCCTCCTTGTTTCCCTCTGGGACCCTAACCCCCACCACAGCAGTCCAGACAGGGATAGTAAATCAGATCACATAACTTCGGTCAAAACCCTCCATGATAATAAGGCGGCTCACCTTCTTATTCTGTGTTAAAGTTCTACGACCTAAAGGCACTGTACCACTTGCTGCTCTCCTTTTTATCTGCCCCTCTTCTCCTTGTTCAGCAGGCTATACAACT